GCAGCCAATGTGATATTTTAAAAACATAAATCAAATCATGTTAGTCTCACTTAAGACCTTCCAGTGGCTTCCTCTTGCACTTGAAGTATAAAGTTCAAACACCTCACTGCAGAATATGATACTCCATAGTATCTGCCGTCTGCCTGCCTGCCTCCTTGATTTTCTCTCATACTGTTCTCTCCCTCACCCATTCCACTCCAGCTACTCTGTTGTATTCTGTATCTCAAACACACCACCAAGCAGCTCTTGCACTTACTCCAAATGTTTACATAGCTAGTTCCTTCTCGTTGTTCCCATCTCAACTCACATGTTAGTTACCTCTTCAAAAAGACCTTCCCTGGACTGTCAAAAGAGGTAATCTAGATCGCATTTTCTTATTTAATGTTCTTCATTGTACTTATTGTCTGAAATTGTCTCACTCTGTGGAACTTTGTCCCACTCCTAGAATCTAATTTCCTTGATAGTAGAGAACTCATCTGTATAATTCACAAGGAAATCCCTGCCTCTGGAACTTAGTAGGTCCTACATACTCAAGAAATCTTTAGCAGATAATCATTATAGCACAATATCATATGCCAGTCACTAAACACTACCAGAATATGTTCCTCCATGTTTGTTAACATTAAAAAGAATAATACACTATACATGTTTTCATTAAAAAGTATGTGAATTTATTCTTGCCTAACAAATCAGTCCTAATGGAAACCAAAACATTTTAGGGGACAGTCAATATTCATCTACAAAAAAAGGTGCTGGTACACTTACACAATAATGAAAAGAGTAGTAATTGTACATAGCAACCAAGGACAGCGAAACCTCATTTACACTAATCTTTTAGCCTTCAAATGGATCATACCAATTAACACAGAACTCTAAATTTAAAATTAAACATTTTTGTATCCATGATATAAGTAAATGTAATTAACAGTGGAATCTAAAACTTTTTTATTTCAAGTTGGTCTTTGAATGCCAATCACTAAAAGTTCTATTTTCCTTCTTTACTTATGCCATAAATTTTCTTTCTTTAAAACTGCATGGTCTCTCATATTTTACTATAATTCCACCTCAAAATAAATAATCAGAATTTTAACATTTAAAGCTTTTGTTTCTGACCAGGAAGTGGGGATTAGCAGAACTTCTCTGCTTTGTCTTTGCTCTCCTCTACAGAAAAGCTCCTCTGTGGTCTTGATATTTCAATTTCAATGCCATCTGAACCCAGTAGATAAGAAACTTTTGAGTGCCTGTTTCTAACTGTTCCTGAGTGAGGACCATCAACAGAAACTAAATAGCAATGGAAACCTAATAGGTGCTAATAGGATTTTTGTTGATTTTTAGACTTTATTTTAAATTTTATTTCCCCTATTTTATGGGGTACAATTACAGTCAATAACAGATATGATCCATAGAGAACTACAAGTTTCATTTAACTTCATAACAATCCTTTTGGACTTTACATTTACTTGAAAGTAGAATGGGGTAAAAAATATTGTCTAAATTTTACTTTGGTCACAGTCCCTCCACACCAACACTCCAACACACCACACACACACACACACATACACACCCACACACACACACACACAAAATGTAGGTTTGCAGGACTGCCCAGAAACTCAGAAACCTAAAATCCTTCTATTGTTTTTCTTTCCTATAAAAAAATTGTTTGTTAATATAATACCTGCAATGTAAGTCATTACAGGTCCGATGTTACAGTTCTTACATAGAACACAGTATTGAATCTATTGAATGAAAAGGAAGCACAAAGGGGATTTCCAAATGCAGCTGCTATTTCCCATTTGTTAAATCCTTTTACTATACCATAGACGTACACAGCTGGGAAATACTATAGAGTGGGAATTAAAACAAAGTATTTTGGCTTCCAGAAATTCAGAATACACAAAAGGTTTGGTGGAAATCAGAGCTTGATATCAAAAGAGAGTGAAAGTTTGAAAACAAGGATGATTTCTTTTAGACTAACATGTAACATATTTGTAAATTTAAACTTTATTTTATACTACCATAAATTTCACTTAATATAATTTGCTAAGCACATTATTAATACCTATCCTGTTTCCCTGAAAATAAGACAGTGTCTTATATTAATTTTTTCTCCCAAAGTTGCGCTAGGTCTTATTTTCAAAGGAATGTATTATCTTTCCATGTGCTAGGTCTTATTTTCGGAGGATGTCTTATTTTCAGGGAAACAAGGTATTTTCTAACAAGATTTTAGATGATAAAAGTTTGGGAATAACTTGCTGAAGCAATTTGGCACTTGCCAAGATATACACAAAATTTAACTGAGAAAAATAAGCAAAGTGTTCTCAAAAAAAGTAAACTTTGAACTGTATTATTTCTGATGCAACCTATATATTCCAATTTAATTATTTTTATCTGTCCATAGCTATATTTGGCATAAAAGCAAAAAATATCTCTCTCTATCCCATTGGCCTAATCCAAGCAGCTATCATCTCTTACCTGGATTTCTTAAATAGCCTCCCAACAGGTCTCCCTTCCATCTGTTCATACTACAGCTAGAATTATCTGCTTGAACTATTCTTAAACCCTTCAATGCCTTTCCATTGCACTTATAATCAAATCTCACTTCCAATGTTATCTACAAGGTCTTTTTTAATATAGCCCCTACCAATCTCTCCAACCAGATCTGATGCTATGTTGTATCCTTACTTATTACACTCCAGCTACAAAGACTATCTTGAATTTCCTGAAGCTCAGCTATATTTTTTTTCATCTCAAATATTTCATACATGTTATTCCCTCTGCTATTTTTACTCTTTCTCGTATTCTTTGCCTGACTAGTTTCTCTTATCCTTAGGTCAGCAAGGACATTCCTATCTATCCATTCTAAATGAAGTTTATTTCATTAATTTAGCATTGTTATTTTCCTTCCTAACACATATCACATTTTTAAAAATTTATTGTTGACAGTATTACAGATGTCCTCCATTTTATTCCCATTTATCCCTTCCATCCAGCCACTGAGCCACCCCAGGCTTTCCCCACAGTATTATCTATGTCCATGGTGTATGCATACGTGCATATATCACATATCACAACCTTAATTATATATTTACTAGAGGCCCAGTGCATAAAAATTCATGTACTGGAAGGGGTCCCTCAGGATCCCTCAGCCCAGCCTGCCCCCTCTCACAGTCCAGGACCTGGTGATCAAGGGAAGGCAATGCACCCATCACACCTCTGCTGCTGCCACTGATGGCAGTGCAAGCCCCGGCCAGCCATGGTTACCTGAACCCCAGGCAGCCACCATTCAAGGCTTGCCTGCCCCTCAAGTATTGGCTGGGCAGCTGCCATCCAAGGCTTACCTGTGCCTCAGGCATCAGCTGGGCAGTCGCCATTCAAGGCTTGCCTTTGCCTCGGGCATTAGTTGGGTAGCCGCCATCTGAGGCCTGCCTGCGCCTCAGGCCGGCCCCAGGTGGTTGGAGGGCTGAGGGAGGGTCCGGCCACACTACACACCTGTCAACCCTTCCCCCACAGCTGAGCTGATAGGAATGGGTACTCCAGCAGGGCCAAGGGGACTGGGCACCACCACCTTGTGGCTATGGGTGCCACCATCTTTATAATGGTGTGAAGGTCAATTTGCATATTCCCTCTTTATTAAATGGGATTTTTGTTTTCTCTCCTGGATATAAATTCCATAAAGGCATATTCATGTATATTTTGTCCACCAGCACCCAGTAGAATGCTGCACTCAGAGAAGGTGTTATATAAATATTTGTTGAAACAAAAATAAAACACAGCCCTAATATCTTGCCAAAAAGCTAGTGGCAGTGACTGGATATCTATTTCATCCATGCTATCTTGGAGGTATGAAATGAAGCACTCAAGTACAAGCAGAAAAACAGACTTTTAGTCTTGCTTTATCATACCGTTTCTGTTCTCCCTATTCAAGGAAAATAAATCTTCCAGTGATTCTATCTAATTATAAAATGATTATACCCTTATCTAAAGTTAGTCTGGAACAAGTCTTGTTTTTCTTCCAATCCCTACATCTCACCTCCAGAGCACTAGTGATGTCTACAAAATCATCTAAAAAGAAGTGTCTGAATCCATATATTATAAAATCAGATCGTTAAATTGGTTCTGAGACATTAAGCATAGGGCAAGAATTTAAATATATGTTATTAGTAGTAAAGGCATTTTTAAATATTATCTTATTTTTAATTAAGGAATAAAACTTTTCTTAACTCTCTATTAAAATACTTTTCATTAACTTAACCAAAAGTTAAGATATATAAAATAAATTTTAAAATTCTTAATCAAATAAAATATGTTAAGATTTTGGTCAGTTCTAGATGCTTAAAAAAATAAGTGTATTTGCTATAAGTTAGATAATTCATGTCACTTGCTATGGACTATGATGGAATTTAACATGAGAAATCTGGCTAACACACTACATGTATTTGATATTGTTGCTTATACCTTTACAGAAAACTTCTACAGTTTGATGGAATGATACTGAGAAGCTATATCTTTTTTAAATTAATCTATAGGTATTTAAGTGAGAAAAATCTTAAATATAAATCAAAAATTTCTGTAAAATGATAAATACCTGCACTTACTCACTGAAGATGTGTTTTCCATATGATCTCATTTCCATAGACATATTTGCTTAATATAATTTTTTAATATTAATACACAGCCACACTTCATTTGATCATACCTATTTTGTGGTATTATCAACCTTATCACCTTAAATTCAGAGGTTCAGAAAATATGACAACCAAATTGTCCCCCAAATTAAATATTTTTTTTGCAAGGTGACCTAAAATGGATAAAAACTAAATCAAAAACCATTTTCCCCAGTTATAGTAATATTAATAATATATATGGTGGTTATTTTATGATCTGAACACAATGTACTATAATAATATGTATTTTGAGCTTTCTCTAAAATACCTGTTTGTAATGAGGCCATACTAATGGACACACTTAGCAACAGTGGCCAGATTTTAAAAGCTTACCATTCTTTGCTGAGACGACAGAATGTTGTCCCAGTCAGCATCTTGTTGAATGGTATTGACAAGTGTTGGTAGCTCCTCAGAGTGAGGTTTGTTGTGCATTATAGGGTGCAGAGGCAGATGGGAGGCCACATGTTGATCACTGCCCTCCTCCTTTTCCCTTGAGGTCAAATCTTGGGTCATCGCTTCCTCTCCATCAGCTGAACAGGCAAATGGAGAGGTGGCTTGCTTGGAAGACATTCTTCTGCAGAAGAAGGAAACAGCATGAATTCAAAAGGACTGTCCATGAAAACAAAAATCCCTTACATTTGAATATTCCTAAAAAAAGAAAAATTCTCTTACTTTAGAGATGTTTACCCTCTACTCTAAACCAGTAAAAAAGAACTCTCAGCTTATCTGGTCCACTTCTCCTCTTTGATTTTAACTCACAAAATTCTTCCAGGTGATTGCATATTTTCTCTCTTACCAATCCATAAGTAAAGTGTTTATGGAATAAGTTTCCATAATATGTGTAGTATACGTATGTGTGTAAATTTCTCCCCAGTTATCCCAACTAGATTAGAAGCTTCTTGAGAATAATTTTGTTGATTTGCCTAGCAATGAAAAAAAAAAAACCCACAAAAAAAAGAATGAATGAACTGGCAAATGGAAGATGATTTGGAAGTACATATATCCAAATTTTGCTTATGCTTAAAATTGGAACAAAAGAAGAAAATAAATTCAAGAAGGCAGGTTGTCTATGATGAAAGTCTAGGCAAATTTGGTCCTGATTTCTGAGTTTACACCTTGCTTTGAGTGCTAGACCTAACACTGTTTAGTGTCAAATGGGACCCTTTTCTAAAGACCTTTAAGCTGTGTTAACTGCTGTAATTTAGCTTTTAAGTGATATATTGATTGAATGGCTGATACTGTTAAATTAGTCTCAAGGTAGTCTTATAACATTTGAATTGAGCTTATGAAATAACTATGTTACTATTTTATATTAGAAAGTATATACCAGATTCAAAGCATTTAGTATGATAATAGTAAAATGCCTACAATGCATAATATTTTAATACTCCACAAACAATTACTGAATATTCATCTAAGTACCTATAAGAAAACTATATTCAGCACAAGGTCTCCATTCTGTGCTTTTGTATACAGCAAGAAAAATCATTATTACTAAACAGAATTCAAAACTCTTATAATATCACTTTATCAAGATGATTTTCGTAGCAAAATGTCTAGAAATAAAACCGCCAAAAGTTTTTTAAATAAAATAAAAGGTAATTGAGCATCTTTTATAAAACTTTATGTCATTTTTTGTTTATAGCGTAATTAGTTCTAAAATTGCTGTGTAACGAAAGGAATAAAATCTCTACCTTAATTGCTTTTTAACATTAATTGATTTCATACCATTTTTTTTAAAATGCACAAATCAGTTAACATAGAAAACCACATGAGCATTTTTCAAATTAGCAAATCATTAACTTGCTAGTACTGTTTCTAGACAAATAAATACTGATTAAAGGGTCCAGAAATCTGAGATTAACAGTTAAATTTACAAATCTGTCACATGCTTTCATGAATATTGCAGTGAAGGAAATATCAAGTGCAAAGAAAAATAATTAAGTTAATTCCAATTTAAACAGTAGTTTTTATGTAGCAGCCCATGTTTCACATAGGATTTAACAGCTAATGCTAAATTTCTCACAATTAATGAGGGGGCTCATATTTAGTATCCTACAGTGAAAAAATTAAGATAAGATTAGCTAGTCTAATTATGCAGGGTTCTAAATAAGAGTATTATAGGCTTTTGAAGTGCTTTGAAACATATTAAAATGCTGATACCTACTTATAATAACGATTCTACAAATATAAAAATTTCATCTATTAGACTTGATACTAGAAAATACAATGGTGAAAGGAAGTACAGAAGAATGTCTATATTTTCTTTGAGAAGAATAAAATGCTATAAAAAGCACTATATCAAAGAATCAGATAAGTATATTCTTGACCAATTTCTAAAAATACTAACAAAGGGACTTATGTATATACACTTAGGAAAAATGATACCAAAGGATATTTCTTAGTCTACGAGAATCACTCTTGAGCTTACTTCATTGGCCTCATAAATACTATCATAAAACCAGGCAAATTATAACTGTCCTGCAAGTTTATCAAGAGCCTGCCATAAACAACAAGAATGTTTTCATAGTTCAGATAATGACAGTACCAATAATGTAATCATTCACATTAAAAACAAAAGAATGAATTTACTGCTGCTTTTTAAAACAGCTCAATACAATTGAAAGTCATAATCCAAATCTCATAGGGACTTTAGCTTCCCAAAAAACATCCTCTTATTATAAAGTGTCTTGGCTGCTTCCAATAGCATTATCTGTGATTGTTGCTTTAGTATAAATTAATCATGACACAGAACACAAAACTCTCTTAAGAATAATTCCAACTGCAAAACTGCACCAATGAACAATAGTGCACAATCCTAATTAAACACAACCATGCAGCTGTAAAAATAGACTAAATCTGTCCAAAGCCATGAGTTGAGTTTCAAGGCTGGTTTGTTAGAGTGTTTTCTTAAGGAAGGCTGGGCCCTCGTTCTTAATCAGCCAATAAATTATTTCCTGCAATTACATTAAATAGAAAATTATCTTCAAATGAGGAGTGTTAATTGAAAATCAAAATTCAGAGGGAAGTTTGGAAATTACACGCTGAATACAATTAGTGAGGAAGGGCTTCACCTCCACTTCATCAACAGCCTTGTGGTGATTCCTCCAGTGACCATTCGGGAAAGTTACCTATTTATAACATCACACAATTTGTCTTTTATTTTGCACCTACAAATATGAATGTGCATCAAGGTTGCAAATAAAGAATAAGCTGCCAAAAAAAAATAGCCAATATTAAATCTGACTGCTTAGCCTCAGTTCACACCATCATTAGGGGACAAGGAATGAGGAAGATAAGATAATAATGGTTAACAACCAAGGAAGGCATATTCAACTTGCCATCCTGGCCTTTAGAAAGGAATTAACTTTTTTTTTTTTTTATTCCAAAAAGAATACTTTTCCATACTACATTTTACTTAAATTTCTTATATTTACTACAGTTCTCAAAGATGTTGTTAGCAGAGAAAAGGGTGATTTTGTTCTTTTAGCTGGTTATTGCTCCGCTCTGGGCATTTCCTTTTGACAAAATTGCTGGGCTTATTTCAGATTTGTTTTTTATTTGGTTTTGCTGTAGTTTTTTGTTTGGAGTGGTGGTTTGTTGTATTTTTAAAAGGAAAGTGTGCACAAATTCATTTTAATGCAGTTTATTAAATAAGTCAGATTCACTGATTATTTGATTCAATTTACTGATTATTTTTTGCACAATTACTTTATTAAAGAGTCCTTCAATTTACTGATTACATATTTATTCATTTCATTTCTTTACTTTAACTTCCCCTTTTGAAATATTTTACTACACAGAATTCTAGAAGCTGCAAAGACTCTTGGTAATGCTTTTACTATAACCATTGCACTGTGGCTGCCCTTCTTTAGAAATTCATAAATCAAATATACATCTTTTTTAATGTTTTACATTGTCATATCAGAAGCTTACTTTTATTTTTCATGCTCATATCATTAACTTTCCATTACAAAAAATGTCACCACCCCCCCAGTGCATTAGAATGGTATCTTACTTTAGCTGCTGCCATATATAACTAATAGGCAAAAGAACAAAATTCTTATAAAAATGGTCAATTTCCATGTGACTTTACTTTGCTTTATTTTTGCACTATAACTTAAAAAATCACTCAAATGAATTGTTTTTTTAATTTGTATTAAAAAAAAAAAATCTCCCTAGTTATACCCCGTGAAAACAGGGGGTTATAATGGAAGTGCTGACACAACCCTAACTAAAGCAGCGCAAATGTTGCTGCTATAATACACAAAATCAAGTTCTATTATTCTAAACGATCCTCGCTCATGGGATTTTTCTTTACTGTGCTCCCAGCCAAACTGCTGAAGCATGAAAAATTTAAATGCAATCAAATGTGCCCAATTCTACTTTACTAGAACAAGTGTCTACAGTGGTACAATCTTAAAAGGAGATGCAACAGATTTGTTTGGTGTTTTTTTTTAACTGTTTATTTATAATACAGTGCATTGGAGATAAAATAAAAGAGGAAATTACACTCACATGGTACCAGTGTATTGACTACACAGAGTACATTATAATCAGAGAGAAAAACTACATTGTCAACTTATCACATTGGTTAAACAAGATGGTTTTCTAGGGCATAGCTATTATCAAGTAAAACCTCCAAAGAGAATTACATATCTTTGGGACACATAAAACTAAATTCTCATCATGTGTTCCCGAGTTCGAAATGTCTCTGCCCATCAGATCAAGTGAATTCCCAGGATGCCAGGCCATTGGAAAGAACTTCAGGGCTTAGGACTTTTGGGAATGAGAATGTCAGAGATAGTCTCCTTGTAATTGATAATGTTTTCTAGGAAGTTAGAAGGAGTGTCTCTAGAAAGATGATAATTATTTTACTCCAAAACCCCAGTATCAAATCTGAATATTTAGACCATTAAAACCTACTCAGACAGTAAATTTATATCTCTGAACAAGAAATCAAGATTAGCTTGTCTAAGACTTTATAAAATGGGGAGGACTAGATAGCTACACAGTAAATCCTCTATCTCAGAAAAGCATACTTTCTAGAACGTTAAGCCTTTCTGATTTTATGCTATTTTTTTTTAAAACATTCATTTGTATATGTTAAAAAGTTAGGATTATTTTAAAACAACTTTCTCATAGGGCATAGCCACTCAAAATTACTTTTTTTTTTCTCTTTACTACTGCTTGAAAAGAATATGTCTCCAAACAATCATCTGGAACTTAACTATAGAAAGAAGTCTTGAATTTATTAGAACAATATTTTTAATTTGACTTTTTAAACTGTTCTCATTACTTCTAAGATTATTACCAAGTGGTATTCACTTTGTAGGTGTGTTACATTTATTCAAAAAGAGCCCTGATTTGAATACAAAACAACATTTCAATAGCTGGTTTACATAAAGAAAATATTAAAAATTCAGACCAATGTTCACATTTAATTTTGCAACTCAGCCCCAGGCTACCGAGGTAGATTTCTTTCAGTCAGATAATTCACTGTTAATTTAATCCCACAATTGATCTGATACTGAGAAATAAACAACTAATTTTCCAAAAATATAACAGTGTCTC